TAACTAACTAATAATGCAGTGCGTTAAGTTTATTAATGCAAAAATAAAAATAAAAATTATTTATTTCACATTTTAGTGGATTGTGTATTTTAAAGCAAGATTTTAATTGTTTCAATTGTAATACTATAAAGAGTCATGTATGCAAATTCAACTTATATGAATACAAGTTGATAGTTAATATATAATATAAATTAATTATTCTTTTTGAATTTTGTTGTTGAGTAAATACAAGGTCATTCTCAAAATAATGCTGGTCCTCAATCTCAAGTCGTCGTCTTTCCTTTGAATGGTTCCGTTCAATTTCAATAAATGCACTTGAAGCTTCGCTAACTTTTATTCGCAAAAGTTTCAAGAATTGCATGGTATTAAACATTTGTCAACTAGACCAAAAAGGTAAACTCCCCCACTGCACCATATCATTGCATAAACATTTAATTGGAATCCTGAAAGTCTATATTAAAATTAATAATTTACAAGCATAATTACATTAATATTCCAATAAAACATAATACAAATCGATTACTTGAATTCCGTAAACAATGAGATTTAAAAATTCAATATTGGACTGGTTGTAAATCTTAATAACCTGATTTAGTTCATCTCGCAACATAATCATAAGCTTGAGTTTATCAATCCATTGTTTATGTCTGCAGGCTTCCGCTTTTCCATTCTTGATTCCTTCCGATATTTCACGTAATTTATAGTTTGGAATTTTTAAGGTTACTTTCAGGTCAACCTTATGTCCGATCTTTGCTTTGTTTTCAGGACTATTATTATAATTTTTTTAATTTTTTGCATCCATATTTGAGCACGAAACAATTTCTCCCTAGTGATGTTAGCCGGCTAGACTTTATTGCACAAATTTGTTGTGGAGTTTTCTTGACACTCAAGCGTCCGCGGCAGACTCTTGTTCTGTCGGAAGCCAGTGATGGCGAGTCATATAATAGATGGCCGGCTAATGAGTGAAGGGTTAATCCCCTTATTAGTTGCTTAAATAGCCTTTATTCTACAAAATACTAATGAATTTTTTTTATCCTATTTTCCCGCAAATTATACGATAAAATGCGAGAAATTCGTTAAATAATTAGTTTGTACATAAATTATGTGAAAAATTTTTTTTTATAATTAAATTCCCCTTTTATGCCCATGCAAGCTAGCTGCTTTATTGGATATGATGATACCAATTTTTGCAAGGCATTCGAAGGAGAAAAAAAAGTACCTATTAGATATTCAGTAATTATTTCGATGATATAATATCTGGGAGATAATCCTCATTTGAGTAAGAGCTATCAACAAAGTTTTTCAAGAATTATTTTATTAATTACTTTTCTAACTGTTGCTTGTCTAATATTTCCTCCAAGTTTGCGGATGCACATCACTACATTTCATTAAAAGTAAGATTTCTTTCGTGAATAATTCTATTGAAGACTTCTTTACCAGATGTTGAGGTAATGTTCTTATATTGTTTTTGTTCAGAAGAAGCAGAGCTTCGGATCATTTCCTGTAATCAGAAATTTATTATTATACATTTTACACGTCTTGGTCCAATCATTACCTAAGCACAATTCAATGCATCGTTATAACATTGTAAAATTCAATACAAAAACAATGCAATGATCGTTATCACTTAAACATTAAACAATACATTGATTATTATTAAGTATTAAACAATGCATTAATTACTATATGTATTAAACAATATATTGATCATTTTATTTAAAACATAGATAAATTTATAAAATATTCATTAGGTTTATTAAAACGCGGAATAATATGAACTGGTCCAATAATAGAATCAATCGCTATAATAGTAAACATTGGAACGCTTTTCATATGCGGACAATCATATTAAAATAGTCTTTGTGAATCATTATATTTAAATTTATACTAATGAACTAATGCTAAATTCTGTTCATTATGACCGGGAATCTAAACTAAATAGCATTAAAAGCTTGTTGTTTGACATAAAATTTAAATATTAGTTTAAAAAGACAAAGAATATAAGAAAAATTACTGTTTTTTCATTTGAATTTTGGGCATTTTTCATATTTTTTGGGAATGGTATATTTAAATCTGGGTATAATTTTCTAAAAAAAAGTGGGTAGAGAAAAGGTGATTTACTATTAAACCTCAAATATACCATCTACTAAGATTGTTCGGGGTCCTACGTATAAAAGTATATAAAAACTACTTATTTTAGAAAATGTACCTTGAAACAACGAAATGTGCCCCAAAAATCAGCCTGAATCATGTAACATTGCAGAAATCGGTGGGTTAGATCTTTAAAAATATTAATATTAATAGATAATTTCTTTTACCGTATTCTCTGGAATATAAGCACCACCATTTTAACACGTTTTGGTTAACAAAACTGTGGGTGGTGCTTATATTCAAGACATTTTATTTCAGATAATTTGTGTTACATTTATATGGGAAATGAGGAAGATGAACGTGAAATATTAAATAGAAATGATGATTCAGCTAATGAATTAGATGAATTAGAAGAGGAGGAGTCTGGTGACTCTGGGAAAGAATAGTCAAAATAAAAAAATTTCTTATTTTTTATTTATTATATAAAAATAGAAATATATGTGGTGCTTATATTTATTTTTCTATTTTTTTTGTTTTTTCATTGCAAATTCATACTGGTGCTTATATTCCAGAGAATACGGTACCCGTAATCGCAAAATAAAAAAATAAAAAAATGTTGTCTAAAAAATCCAACAAAAAAAAAAATATATATATATATATATATATATTTGAATAAAATGACATAAGGTATGATGTAATGAACTAAAAGTATTGATAAATGTTGATGATGATGATTTACTGAATGAAGAAATAATTTCCATGTCGAATTTTAATGAAGAAAATCAGGATGAAGACATCGAAGAGACATCTCCTATTTCAAGTCAAGATGCTTTATTGGCTATTGAAAAAGTAACCTTGTTTGTTTGAACAACAGTTTAAGGAATTTACAGATGAGGAATTGAAACAATTAAAAAATATCAAAAAGAAAATTAAAAAAATAGAATTCAATTCAACAAAACAATCTATATTACTGTTTTTAAAAATTTTTTTATTCCGCATGACTTAATGTAGTACAATTTTCTGTATCAGATTCTCTCTATAATAATAACGGACAAATTTCCTGATCCGTTATAGACAGTGTGGACTGTATTGGATTAATTTTCCCGTCTACTTTTACGAAAAGGCTCCCATTATTTTGATTATTTTTAAAACAAAATGGTCCTACTTTACATTTTTATACTCTTTTTAATAGAGGCTGGAATCGTCCAAAAAATCCTTAGTCGACTACTAGTTGGTCAAAAATTTCTTTAGTCACTAAATTTTTTTTTATAATAATAATATTTCGTTTTTTTTTTTTTTTAATTTGCAAATTACGAATTCATTTCCATTTGAACCTTTCATTTTTTCAAAATGCTTCCACACAAAACCATGTGTTATGATTCGTTTTTTTTAAAGGTCTTCTGGAACCAACGCTTAAATCATTGGAACTTGAAACCAATGAACTATTAGACCTTGTATTGGAAGTGTTTATTCATTCGCATGTAAATTTACCATCAACCACACCGCTACTATTGTCGTCATCATCATATTGATGGTGTTGATATTCTTCCGCATAGAAATTTTCCATTTTGAATGATAAAACACGAAAATCGTAATTGGTCAGACAATAATAATATTAGCATAGTATTAGTATTGGTATTAGTAGTATTAGTAGTCGACTAATTAGTCGACTATTAGTTGTTCAAAAAAAAGTTTAGTCGATTCCAACCTCTACTTTTTAAGCACCAATACAATCGGTTAATTTTGTTATTGTTGGTATTACTGCCCCTGCTTCATTAATTCGGGATTTTTCTTTACCCTTTTTACTTCATTATTATTGTCATTATTTGTGTCAAGTAAATAATTAAATAATTTCTATTTTTTTTTTACCTTGGTGATGTTTTCTTTGCTTTCCATTAATAAAAAGGTTAGATGCTGAAACGCAAAAAAAAATAAGATTTAAGATCATTCTGATTGTTGTGTATATCGAAATTTGCAAATCACTTCTTTGTTTCTAATTCCTCGGTTATTACCTTTTGACGATCTTATTTAATATCTAGACACTTTACAACATTATTTATCTCGTCGTAGCTCTGTATAGTTTGAATAATTGATTAGAAAAAAATTTATCAAAGATTTTAGATTATCAATTATCAAAAAGTTCCATTTTAAAGTTTCTTTTTGCAGAATCGAAGTTTTGATATAAAGTTTTTTGTGTAATAATCATTATGTAACGTTTTAGGGAAATTAACAATACAATACCATATTGTGTATTAATAGCATACAGCGCGCGTATCATCCATCACGATAACCATTCTCTTAATTTCTCGACCCTAGAGATTTCACGATTCCACAGGACCGGCATTAATTTTATTTGTTACACACAGATTTAATGTTTCAACTTTTATTTTTTATTATTGTTGTGTTGTTTATTTGTCGTTTAGTTTGATGTTTTCTCCTTTGTTTCATCTCCATTATTATTATACATATATGTTAGTAAACACATGCACATACAAATATCAATTGTCGTCATATTGAACATTGGAACAAAAATACTCCCCGTTAAAATTTTTAGTATTATTTATTTAAATAATGTTCAACAATAGTAACTTTAAACCGAAGCCATTGCAAATCGGCTATTCGACTAATTTGTATGTAACTAATTAAAGTTTATTCTGTGTTTTCAATTTCAAATCCAAAGATAGGCATGTGTTTTCAAATATAAATAAAAACCACTTGTATATTTCCTTTCCTTGAAAAATAAAATCATTTTGGTTTTAATTTTAATATTCTTTTAATTTGTATATAATTTCTATATTTTTTAAACCTCTGGAAGGTGTAAAAAATTAAGTTTTTTTAATTAATTAATAATTACTAATTACCTCGACATTATTATTATAATACATATATCCACATTATCTACGTTAATTATGAAAAACTCATTCCCAAACATAATTCGTAAGCCTTTGAAAAAAATATTCACCAAAAATTCATCAAACGAGACTTTAAACGATAATGGTGATATCAATTGTTTAATAAAAATCGAACAAGAAAGATTCTCTTATATTGAAGTAATTTTGGATGAAGATGAAGATGGCGAAAATTATCATTACTACGATGATAATACAATGTCATTATTTGGTAATAAGAGTCTCGCTAACAATAATAATATCAACGACGATGATGATTCTATCGAAGATGATGTTACTACTTGTTATTATCCAAATGAAATAATTGACGATTATGAAGCAAATGAAAATGAAGACGAAATTTTCCCCTATAATGACAAAAAAAAATATGGATATAGATCATGGGTTGGCGACGAGAATAATTATTATCTTAATTATATTAATGACAATAATAAACAACCAACTAAACGAATGTTTGGCACCTTAAAATATGAGAAAAACTCGAAAAACAAAATTTTCAGGTATTTTATTCTATTAATTTATTAATTTATTAATTCATTAATTTATCAACAATATTCAATTAATTAATTAATTAATATCATTTTATTAAATATAAATCTAGAACTAAATCATTATCAATATCATCTTCCTTGTCATTCTCATCCTCCTCATCATCATCCTCATCCTCCTCATCCTCCTCCTCGCCATCATCCTCATCTTCTGAAGAAAATATTTAATATAATTAATGAACTTTCTTCGCCCCAATTATGTAATAATAATAATAACAATAAGAATACAACAATAACCATTATAACAATAATAACAACAATAACAACAATAACAATATTAACAATAATAATAATGTTTAGGTTTTAAGTTTTATTAATAAAATATAATGTAAATTTATGATAATTTTAAGGTTGCATAAATATCACGCGTTTTTTGATAGACTTACCCATTTCAGTCAAATAAATATTCCCAGAAATTATAAATAAGCCACAATGAACGTTTCAAAGATTTCTGAATCACATAAATCCTCCCATAATAACATGCATTTCAATAATATTGAGTAGCAATCCGTAGGATCGGGAAAACTTTATTTAATATGACCGTAAATATTATTCGAAAATAATTTAAAAAAGTTAAGGTAATTGCAACAATATAATACGGGTTAACAATTGTCTTGGCCTAACATATGACTAATAGTATATGGGTTAGGGAGCGCCATAAATCATGTTGTTAAGAAGGTAGGGGGATCTTCCCAACATAACCAATAAAACAGCACGTGTGCATGATTTTTTGAGGGAGGATAGCGTTGAGATATCTGACAATCCAAAAGATATCACTGTATATATCTAAAATTTTACGTGATTAGTGGTCGAAGGGTAGTTGTCATAGTACATATGTAAACTCGATAAGTCGGTCATGTGGGGTGAAGCTCATATGACCGACTTATCGAATTAAATTACTTAAATATTAAGAAAAAAGAGTGAAATTTTTGGCCGACTTACCGCGAGACCGACTTGTCGAGTTTACATATTAATGTGTAAATAGTAAAACCTCGAGTTCCCATTTTCTGTTTTTGGGTTACACGTGATCTTGCGATTTTATTGAATAAATTAAATATCACGTCTCCGTGCTTTTTGTTGGTGATTCTGGGGATAATACAGTTAATATTGTGCTATTACTGCTATTACTATTATGCTTATTGTTATCGTTCGTTTTATTCATTTATTCGAATTATTCGTTTTGTCCGTTTTATTCGTTTTATAAAATATAGGTCTTATTTATTTAACGAAATAGTATAAATTACAATAATTACATATTACTATTACTATGGTTGCTAACACTATGACTTGAGAACAATATTATTTATTATTTATTATTATCACTATACACAAGGACTAAGATTGAAAAGAAAAAAATTTTATTTGGATTGGATTAGAAATGTGCATATTAATATTAATATCTTATTTTATTCGGATTATTTAATCTTTATTCGAATCATCCCGTTTTATTAGTATTAGTATTAGTATTAATATTAAGTATTAGTATCATTGGTTTTTATTCGAATTAATAATTTTTTAATAATTTATTAGTGTTAGTATTAAAAATTTATATCCAAAAAAGGAATCCCATACATTTTTGGATTGTAAATCATTTCCTAAACAATCAACATTCCAATAGTTTTGGATTTTTAAAAAACCCACCACCATTCAATTCAGCACGAAATTTATTTAGTCTCTATTTCTTAAGTGTATAACAAAATTCGGAATTTTCAAAATGCTAAGGCTCAGCCAATAAGTTTTGAAACTTGAGTCATGAACAATAAAATTTATTGGTTAAATTTTTTAAAATGAGATAATTTTTTTTTGTTTTATATAGTATTTTGAAGTTGACCAATTGTTATTATAAGCAATTAATGATTATAGATGATCTGCACCGTATTAGTATAATAATAGTATTAGGATCAGTCCAGACAAAAATATGTATATTAATATTAATATGTTTTTTTAAAACAACTAGCAAGGTCTAATTAAATGTTTTAATCAGTGGTATTGATACTAAAAAACAGTCCTTTTCCTGTTTTCTTATTAGAATTCAACGAATCTATGGGACCAATCACCTAAATTCGTTGAAACAAGAGAATGATCAATATAATTTAATATAGTTGTTATAGTGTTGAATGCCTCCTTTTGTTCAAGAAAAGCTTGCATAGCTTGCATAGCTTCATTCATTGGAATATTAGTTTTGTGTGGTTGAGCCACTCACAATAACACCTTCCTCTTCAAATTACTATAAAAAATTAAGAATGTCCTCGTCAGTTGACATTTCATTAACTTCACTATCAATTGATATATATATATATATATTCCACTGCTGATAACGCTCATGTTTTGCCCAAAACAATATTTTTTGATTGAGATCTAGTTTGTTTCAATAAACACAATTTGTGGTTTTAATATACACTCTTTTTAAAAGAATGAAGCGGTGGTTGTTGTTGAGACATTTTATAAAGAGATTATTAATTAATAGAATTACAGATTTAATTGTATTGTATAGAATTAGGGTTCGGCTCACAAATGACGATTTGATTATATAGCTGAACCGTGGTTTTATAATTTTCTACAGTACCTAGACAAAAGATTCGGAATCACGTTTTTGTTAATTACGCATAATAACAACCATTAAATGTATAATACGATACGTAGCTTAAGCTTTGATAAATATTTAATGCTTTAAACTTTTCCATGACTTACAAATTTGAAATGTCAAATCTGACTCGCGCAGAAAAAAATGTAAACAAAAATTATAAAAGTTAAAAAATCGAAGTTCTGTGATAAAAATAAGTAAATCAACTTGTAGCTTGGGCTCTCAGGAATATTTTCATTTTATAGTTAATTAATTAATAAATAATTTTTTAAGACAATCAAATCTTAAGTTTTTTTTATCATATTCAATTCAATCATAGAAAGATTTATCGAAACTTAAACTAAATATTTAATTGGTTGTGTTAATATGTAGCTCAACTGGCGATCTATAAAATGAACTAGTTCAACTCATCAACCAAATTCATTAATAATTTTAATCTTGACCATTTTCTTTACTGTTATTACCGGAAACTAATGTTTATTAATTAATTAATTAATTAATAATAAAAGGTATCGTTTAGTAATGATTAATGGATAATCAATTCGTAATGAAAAATTAATTCACCTTTTTTAAAATCAACATTCAAAGAATAGAGCTAAAATCAAGATCATTTAATGAGCTGTCATTACTTGTATAACCTTTTAAGTTTCTTGATTTAGCAATTTCATCATCCAAAATTCTACTTGTATGATATGCATCTGGATGTAGCTTGTATATTTGTTGTGAATAATTACTGTCACCATTACCACCACCACCACTGTTTCTGCTACTGCTATTATTATTAAAATCAATTGCATATTTTTCAAAAAATCTTTTTGTTCTTTTTATCAAACTACTATTATTGTTGTTATTATTATTATTATGATTATTATTATTATTGTTATTGTTATTACTATTACTATTATTATTATTATTATTATTATCGGGAAATTCTTCGTGTTTACTTCTAGCAAATTCATGAAGTTCTCCAATAGTTGGTCTTTTTAATGGATCCACATCCCAGCACCTCTGCATCATTTGCACATAATCATCAGGCATTTCAGGTAATATTGGTGGTCGTAAACCTTCACATATGTCAAAAATTAAACGATGATTATGACCTCTATCATCAAATGGTGGATGACCTGCAAGTATTTCCCACATTAACATCCCAACACTATAGATATCAGTTTCTTTTGTGTTCTTTGCATTAATTTTGCCTCTAAGTAGCTCAGGTGCAACGTATGATATAATTCCATAAATTTTATTAGATGATTTTTCATCAACTGGTCCACATAATCCTAAATCTGTAATACAACAACAATCTTTTCCATTCAATAATATATTACCACTATGTAAATCACAATGAATTAAATCTTTTTCATGTATACAATTTAATGCATCACATAAATAATAAAAGATTTTAATTCTGTTTTTTAATGTTAAATTAAAATGATTTTTTCGTAAATAATTTCTTAAATTTCCATCTGAATGATAATTAAGAACCATTGCATAATTTCCATTATCTGGGAATTTAGTTATACCATAGCAAAAAACAATTAAACCTGATTTAATTTTATGATGATTCAGTGCCTGTAATTTAATATATAAAATCAATTAGTATTATATAATACAAGTTTTATTTATTTTTGTTTTAAATAAAAACTGCCAACCTCATCAAAAAATGCTTTTCCCGGATTACTTGAATCATTTAAATTTTTTAATACTACATGTTGCCTTCCAACATAACCAAATTCCTTTGTATTTTCATCATAATCAATAATGCTGCCTCTTGTCCATATTGCGGTATAAATTGAACTAAATCCACCATTGGTTAATTTGGTTACATTCTCAAAATTATGATAAGGTATCCATTCTAAAATATATCTTGGCAGGGATGATTTCATTTGACATTGTTGAATGAAATTGTCAACTATCTCATTCTCAGTTGTCCAAGTAGTGAAAAGACTCTGCAATTGTAAACTAATACAACCTTCACAGAACCTATCAGAGTATTTTATTGATTTACACTTGTTACATTCTTTTGGTTTGCCTAATTTGTTTTTTGCATTGCTTAATTCAAACTCGTAAATAAACCATTCTTTACAATATTGTTTCTCATTTTCGGAAAGTTCCTTGTTTTTCTCGACTAATGAAAGAAAATAATCTTTTATACTTTCTTTATCAGAATTAACGTATGCATTATTATGCATTTCATAGCCAATTTTATATACAAATTCTACTCTTTCTGGTGATACTAATTGATAAAATGACATTATATAAAATAAATGTAATAATTTTTTTTTTTGTAAAATAATAATTTGACTTGATTGATATTAATTATTAGCAGAGAAAATATATTTTTTAAATGGTGTGTAACAAACAATTAAAAAAAAAAAGCTCGTCAATCTCCAATATCTTTTGCAAAAATGTTTATTAAACAGCAAATAAAGGAGAGAAAATGAGGTACCATCAGATATAGTGATAGTGGTAAATTGATAGTTGCTTTCATTAAAAACCATTTCTTGGTTAATTTTTGCATAACTAACAAAAACACAATTCCGATTTTGGAGGTGATAATTTTTAACGTAACAACAATTCAATTGAGGATTCGGTTTGGGCTGAACCGTTCCCATTACATATGTGTAGGATTAATTTTAGAATTAAAGAGACAACAACTGCTCCAGCAAACCCCGCATGATAACCAAATGCAATAACACGACGACCTATCAAAATTATAAAATATAAATATTCATCATTTAAAAACTCTAAATCAAGAAGCAGTCCTTTGCCCTTGGTAAACCTTTAGAATATTTTGCCGGCCAGATTGATTCTTATAACAATGTGCAAAATAAATGTGTATGAGAAATAGGCGAATCATCATTTTCCTTTAAACCTATAATGTAAACATCGGATGGAGCTGCTAAATAATCGAAAATCAAAATTTACAATTAATAAATAAATTCTTTTTTTTTCAAGATTTACGAACCTTTCATACTCTTCATCATCAAAAATACGTTGTGTAGGTTTTTCTACAGTGATTTTAAAGCCTACACGCATAACATAAACATAAAAATAGACACATATAAAGTATTTATTACAAGCATAAAAGTTCAAAGAAATAACATTGGGGAAAAATTCATTACCTGTTTTGAATTAATTGTTTGCTTGTATTTGGTGTTAAAGCTTGCTCGATGTTCATCATAAATGTACCACTTCTATACTTTTAAAATTTGCCCAAAATTTAGGAGGTCTTTAGACCGAGCCAACTATACTACTGCTATTATTATCAATGATGTTATTATCACTAATATTTATATCTTCATTGTTTTTATTATCTTCATCGACTACATTCTCCATCTCTTTCTTCTTTCCCTTTTCAACCCATTACTGAATCACTTCTAGTGTTTTTCTTCTAGGATTTGCTTTTCATTGGTAGAAGTTTTTTATTGTAGAAGCAGTAATTCCCTTTCCTTCTTCAAGTAATTGACGAATTTCAGTGGCCATTTCATTAAATGAAAAATCGGGATTCAACCAGTCTTTTTGTCAAACAATTGTTTGAAATCATTCCATAGGTTTTCGATTACATGGTAGAGGCAGATAATTCATTTCTGTAACACAAACTAATTCATTTTAATAAAAACACTTTTGTAGTCAGAAATTAAACAGTAGGGTTTAATTGTTCATTTGGTTATTAAAGTGGTATAGAACTATAGTTCTATTCTAATACAAATTTTTATTCAAATTATTTGAATAAATTTTCAATGTAATTTGAATACTCAAATTCATAATGAATAAAACAAATAATTTGAATAAACCTTAAACCCTATATAAAACTCAGGTTTTGTAACTTGGTTTGGTTATTTAATTTGGTAGAAAGCAAAGGTTTAATGTTTAGTTTTTGTTAAGCACAAACATTTTTGCTTTTGTAAAAGAATTTAAGTGTTTTTGTGCAAACATAAGGTGTTAAGATTGTTCAACCAGATATAAAGTGCTGACATTCATTAACCAAAGTCATCATCACATATCACTTTGTTGTATTGTGTTAAAGTATTTTGTAAATGTACAGCTCTGAATTTAATCAGCCAAAGAAAAGTAAAAGTAAATAAACAAGGAACCTCACTAAAGCATTCATTACTTTATAATATGGCTATGTTTTATTTGTTGTTAATTGTATCATAAAAGTGTGCTTACAGATTCATCAAAGCTTTAAAAAGGCAGAATTTCGTAAAACAAATTAATATAAAAGCTTGCGATTAATCAACAATTGTAGCTCAAAAGTTAATCCAAACTCGGCCATACATATTTTGGAAGTCATATGACCATTTAAATAACATTTTTTTTCGAATTTCTTTTAGGATTATTACATTTGGCCTATATTATGACAATACAACCTAATTATGACATTACAGTTATCACTCAGATGCCTTAATATTATGACATTCACAAATCAATTTGGGCTTGTTATCACTAATGAGTTTGTTTGGTTTATTTTGAATTGTTCTATTTTATTGATTTTTTTGATTTTTAATATAGAGTTGATTTTTGTGAGCTTTACAATGAAGCAGGAAACCAAAAAAGAATTCATCTGCAGAAAGTTCAATATTGAAAATAGGCTTTTTTTTAATTGTTGTTGATTAAAAAATAAAACAATGATTATTGAATTGGATTTTTTTTGCCCGAGAATGAATGGGTGGATTGATGTTTTATAATATTCGAACACAAGGCATTTACCTTGTTTTGATGCAATAAAATAAAATAATGACAAGAAAATTAATAATAATGGCAACTAATGAGAGCAAAGGAAATGGTAAGTCAACTTCAAAATTGAAAAAAGTAAGAATACTCTTTTTTGATAATAACATTGATGTTGAACATCTGACAAAACTTCAGAAAAGACAATGAATAAATATAAAAAATACTTTTAGCTGCTTTAATATTAATGGATGAGAAGTTTATTAATAAAAAAAACATAAGCTATTTTAATTATTTCTTGATCTACTGTCTCGTGTACAAAATTTTGTCCATAATTCTTTTTAGATAACTATTGTGGATGAACTAAACAATAATGGCTGATAAAGGTTTCTATTTATGAGAAGATTTTCGGTAGATGCTTTTAAAATTTTTTAAAGTCGATTTAAAACCAGTTTTAACTCTTGTATATATTTACGGCACGACATTATTAATTATTATAAAATTCCTAAAAAAAAAAAATATAAGATTATCTAAAATTTTTATGTTTCACTAATTAATGTATGACATTTAATTTTGTATTACTTAGATAAATCATCGGGTAAAGATAAAAAAAGAGTATAAAGTTTAAATTTTAAAGTTGAAAGTTTATAGATTGTTTATTTTGATAATAGTTTATTTTGATAGTAGTTTATTTTGATAGTAGTTTATTTTGAATAGTAGTTTATTTTGAATAGTAGTTTATTTTGATAGTAGTTTATTTTGAATAGTTTAATTGATTATTTGAAAGTTTCGTTGTTAATCGTTATTAATTAACATAATTAATAATATATGAGATAATTCTCTGTGTTTATTTATTATCACTAAATCAGTTAATTTGTAATACGCGTATCTATATTTAGTTTACACTTTTTTTTTAAATCAATGTTCACGGATTCTTTACTTTTGAGAAAAGGGAATGTATGTGAAACCATCGTCTGTTATTGTGGCTTTTTTTTTCCGATCAAAAAGGTAAGATTTTTTCTTAACCAGGATTTTTTCTTTTTCTTTAGCCAAAGCAATCAATTAATCAATATTTTTTGCTCTCCAGAATTTTTTTTTAATTGTAACGACGATAATTATTTATAATAAAAAAATTGAATAATAGTAAATAATGGATTTTATTGAAGATACCGGTTCTAAAGTCGTTAATTATGTCACTAGTATATTTCAAGGCGAGCAAAAAGAAGGGAATGGAGACTGCCACCGTTATGGTTCTTTTGCAAAAGTTAGAAATAATGTTCATGCTAAATGGTATGTAGACGGCAAAGACTATTATTATGCTGTCTCTGAAGCTTTGTCTAAAGCAAGAGAGGAAATTTTCATTGAAGACTGGTGGCTTTCACCTGAAGTGGTACGTGTCGTTAATTAATTAATAAATTTTCATTCATTCAATAATCACCAACTTATAAAAGTATTTAATTATTGTTATCTTCTTTTCTTTTTTTTCGCGTAATTAATAAATAGTATCTTCGTAGACCTCCTTATAAAAACGAAGAGTATCGTCTCGATAGACTCCTTAAGAAAAAGGCTGAAGAAGGTGTCAAGATTTATGTCATTCTTTATAAAGAAGTAACTCAAGCTTTGACCTTGAATTCAAAACATAGTAAAGGCGTTCTAAATAAATTGCATCCAAACATCGTTGGTAAGATTTTTGTATCTGAGGTTTTTGTTTCTTCAATTTAATTCAATTCATCATCTAACAAATTGACTAATTTAAAATTTAGTTCAAAGACATCCTGATCATGGTATCGGCGGAACATTCCTTTGGGCGGTAATTATTGATTAAAAATTTTGCATTTTGATGTTGATCATGTTGATCATGAAATTTTCTAATTTTCAATTTCAAAAATATTTATATTAATGATAATAATAATAATAGCATCATGAGGTATAGTATTGTACTCATAAACATATATCACTCATAAAATTGTTTGTTTCAGATATATATAATATATATATACACTTGTGCGTATGTATGGATGAATGTATTTATGGTTTTTTTTTTTATAAATAGAAAATTGTTGTTATCGATCGTCATGTATCATTTGTTGGTGGCTTGGATTTATGTTTTGGCCGTTATGATACCCATACCCATCAACTTAGTGATTACCATGCTGCATCTGGGGAGTGTTCTATTTGGCCTGGTCAAGATTACTCAAATCCTAGAATTAAGGATTTTGTTGACGGTAAATTCATAATATATGAATAACATGGATCGTTTACAATAATAATACTCATAGATTTCCCCTTTATTATTCATTTTTTTATTTTCAACAGTAAATGTATGGGCTCAAACTTTAATAGACAAAAAACAGCTTGCTCGTATGCCATGGCATGATATTCATGTTGGTTTAGTAAGTACTAAAAATAAAAATAATCACATTTACATATATTTATATATATACATACATACATATATATATATTCATTCATCATCATCATCATCATCATCATCATTATTAATTATTGTCATCATCAGAATTTCAATCAATTAATTCATTATATGTTTATTATTTATATTTTTGAATTAATAATTTAGATTGGAAAACCAGCTCTTGACGAAGCAAGGCATTTCATTGAACGCTGGAATTTTGTCAAAAAAGAAAAGGCACAAAATAAAATACAATATCCAGTTTTAATTGCTAAATCTGATCGAAGACATGATTTTGAGAATCCACCAGCTGAAAAACCTTACACCTATTTTGGCAAGACTATTAAAGTTCATCCGGAAAAAGGAACATGTAGTGTACAAATATGTAGAAGTAGTTCGATTTGGAGTCATGGTATTGAAACTGAAGTAAATATATGTTTTCCTTTTTGGAAAGTAAATAATGTATATTTCATTTATATTTACGATATATTTATAAATGTATTTTTATAGCATTCGATTCAAAATGCATATATTGATATTATTACTAATGCCAAACATTTCATCTATATCGAGAATCAATTCTTTAGTAAGTTTATATTTATATGGCGGCCATTTATTTGGATATCTACAGTGATGTTGTTTGTTTCAATTATACGTCCATCTATATATTTATATTGTTTTAATTTTTTAATTTTAGTCACAGCAACCAAAGTATCTCCAGATTATCCTGTCAAAAACTTGATTGGAAAGGTACTTTATATTTTCGCATATAACACACACATATATTTATTTTTATATTTATATATATATAGGGTTTTAAAATTTTTTCTACATTATCAAAATCATTTAGGCTATTGTTGATAGAATCATTAAGGCACATAAAAATAATGAAACATTCAAGATTATTGTTGTTATGCCATTACTTCCTTCCTTCCCAGCCGAACTTGACACCAGCGAGGCTGGTACTGTTCGGTAAGTAGTAGTTGTTATTAATCAACATATGCACACACACACATACATATATATTCAAATATTAATTACACACACACACATATATAGTCTTGTAATACATTATCAATATCAATCAATTTGTCGTGGTGGGCATTCAATTCTTGAAAAAATTAAAGCAGCAGGAATCGACCCTGCAAAATATATTAGATTCTTCGCACTTAGATCATATGATAGAATTGATAAAAAAGCAATCGATAAAGGAAAAGGAAAACTTAAAGAAGAAGCTGAAGCTGAAGCTCAAAAAGAAAAAGAAGCCCCTAATCCTGAAGCAGTTGATCCACATGGAATTGTTGATGTTGATGAAACTAGAACTTTCGTCACTGAGGAATTGTATATTCATTCTAAACTTTTGATTGCTGATGATCGCATTGTTATTTGTGGTTCCGGTAAGTAAATTTTTTACATTTAAAGTTTATTATTATTATTATTATTTTAAATTAAAAAGATTTGATTTTTTCTTTTAGCTAATTTAAATGACAGATCACAAAATGGTGATCATGATTCGGAAATTGCTGCTGTCATTGAAGACAATCCTAGCAATTATATAGATTCCAAGATGGGAGGGAAACCTGTATGTTATATATGTTAAATGATTTCAATAATTTATTCAATTTATAAATTTATTTTATATAATAATTAATATTTTTATATAGTGGAAAGCTGGAAGATTCGCAGCTACACTTCGTCGTGCTATATTTAAAGAACATCTTGGATTAGAGTTGGAATCTAATCATGAAACTTGCACAGAATACAGTCATCCTCCACCACATCACGTTGAATTAAAATGTGAATCTCATGAATTAACAGTTAGCGACAAAACTGTCGAAGATCCTGCTTCAGATAAATTTTACAATGATATTTGGACAAAAACTGCTGATGATAACACAGAAATTTTCCGTGATATATTCCATTGTACTCCTGACGATACAGGTAAGCATCATTTTTAACGTAAAAAAAAATATAAGGTTTTAATTGGCAAATTTTTTGACTAATAATAACTTTAAATAAATAGTTACAAACTGGGATGAATTCAAAGCATTTACTCCTGATCGTAAGAAAGTTCCACTTGGCCACGTTTGTAATGTCGAAAAAACCCCAGTAGAGGTTGAAGGTCATTTAAAGAAAATTAAAGGTCATTTGGTTACTTTCCCATTAAAATTCATGGAGAATACCAAATTATCTGGTTCCGTTGTATTTGATGCTGTCACTCCTATGGAATTATTCACTTAATTTAACATTCCTGTTTGTTTATCTACATATATATATCTCCATTACGTTATTATATATTGTTATGTACATTTATTTATATATATTCACTATGTATTTATTTTTTTTTATTATTTGTCAATGTATTTTACAAAGGAAAATTCATGCTGAAAAATAAACGATTTCTATTTGATTTTTGTAATTTTATGAACCAGTAAAAGTTAGTGTAGTAACTACTTGGACCTCCAAAAAAAAAATATAAATGTAAAATCGGGGGAGGGAAATTGTATTGTATTATTATTATTGATGGGGACTAATAAAGAATAAAATGTGGGCACATGTGAACATGCATGCATGAATTGGAGAAAATCATATTCAAAAAAAAAAGATCCGTATTTCCATCAGGCCATCTAAAAAAGTCAAATGACACATCCCAAGTTCAACATTATTTATCCTATCATTATTTTCTCCATTCCTTTACAAAAAAAAAAAATAATAGCATTATCAAATGTTAAATTTGTAAAAAATACAACCATCTTGGTGAAGATAGGTCCAAGTCACTTTTTTTTTTTTTGAAGTCTTGCATGAATTTACCGAAAAATAGTCCGCAAAGATGCTGATCGAAAGGAAGAAAGCGAGCGGATCTCAAGATCAAGATCAAAAAACCCATGCAAAAGATAAATATTAATTCTCATAATCTTGCATCTGATGCCTTCAACATCTAGGCTTGAAAATGGCAAGATCGCAAGTGTCAAATTACGTTGTAGTCACACTAGTCACACTGCATCAGAAAATTCATGTGAATTAGTGACTACTTATCAATATTCATAATTTCCATTGGATCAAGCTTGCTCGTTCCACTTTATTGCCTTTTTTAAAAAAACGAATCTATATGCCTTCATCAATCTTAAACACCGGTCAATTTGTTACTGGAACGAACATTCACAAAACCTCTTCTCTCAATATCTACCAAAGAAATACAATCAATTTCTTCGTAAACTTATTTTTTAGCAAAGAATTGACAACATTGACAACGCACATGACATACTAACCATAAAATTATAATAAAGAAATGTTTATTTTGCCTTTTTTTGGTAAATTCAAATTAATTTACAATTTTTGAATTATTGACACCACCACAATATGGTAAATATCACGTTAGGCGTGTCACTTTTTTTTATTGGTTGTGATGATGATGAGTTTTAGTTTATTGTATTGTTGTCATTATTACTATTGACGCCTGCCTTCCCATTTTATTAATTAATTGTCAATTAATTCAAAAATCAAAAATCATTTTATTGGATTGTTAGAACATTGATCCATGCATTATTTGCGACATATAGTTAACAACAGCCAATGGTCATTAGATCAACAACAGATTGTTCATCCTCAAATCGAGCGAGGAAATAAATACGACTGTCGTCTCACCATGACCATAAAACATTTTGATGAATTCTACATATGTATTCTAAACTAAGGCTGATAACCGAGGTTCTGACATCATTCTCTTGATCCAGGAGTGAGAACTTTCATGACGGAATCTGGGATTCTATTCATATGGTAAAACAGTAAAGCCAATAAGCGTAAAAGATATAACTTCCGTCGATGCATGTCCCGGATGCACAAGAAAGCTCGTAATCTAGTGGATGAATGCCATCGAAACTTGTGTGGTTGTCGTTTAATTTTTTTATTAAAATTCTTTTTTAAAAAATCACGTCCGGTACTAGTACATACGCCTCTTGTGATTTGTAATTTGAATAATCACTTATTATTATTTTAAATAATGACCATTGACTGTAGTACAGATAATACAGGTGATCTCTGGTCTCAAATAGACTTAAATTGCAAGAAATTGATCAATATTGATACTCAAAAAATTTATATAAAAATTGTGGTAATTTTTTTTTCCTATAAAAAAAAAAAACTAAAGAACGATGCTAAAAATGAATCAAACGCCAACTACACCTACCAACATTAACAGTATTAATACACCTCCCCTGCCAAATTATGGATTTAATCCTAATGCACCAATCACCCCAATAATATCTAACTTGGCACATATAAGTAATCCCAGTAATCCCAATAATCCTAGACTACCACCCTCAATACAATTACCAATGCAACAACAACCTAATCCTGCTATTAAGTAAGTTTTTACTCACTTATCTATCTTGTTATGCAATACGATTCGTTTTTACTCGGAAAAAAGTGACTTTTAATAATAATTTATTATAAATTTAAAGCCGCAATCAAATCAATCCTATAGGGGGAGGGTCAGTTAACATTTATATATATTGATTTATATATTTTTTGTTTGTTTAACTTATAATTATCTATATACATACGCATATATACACATATAGTGTATGTATATGTGCAAATATTTATTTTGAAGTATTTTTTACTTATATGCACTTCTACAAATTCATTTATTATAAAAAATTTTAGACGGCAACCTATTACTGGAAAAGGCATTCTTAAAGTTTTATTATTTTTTGAATATTTAGCAGCAGAGGTAAAAATAATAAATTATTAATTTATATATATAATTCATTCATGATATAACTAACCAATTATAACTAATCATTTTATTATATTTTATAAAAAGATGTTCCCAGCTAAAAAAGATATAGCGCATTGGAAAAGAATCGTTTCAGAATTCTTTTCAGAGGAAGGGCGATTTATTTATTTATTAAGAAGTTCAACAGATTTTAAAACTAAAATTTTTGGTTAGGATTCATTTAATAAAATCATAACATTTTATTATTTAATAGTTATTTAGATCTTATGATTAATTAGTTAGTTGATTATGATTAATTTCTTCATTTTATTATAATATTATTGATAAAAATTAATAAATAGATTTACCAACGCCAATAATTGCTAGATTTTTCCAAGTAAATTTTGATTCAGGCGTAAATACAATACAGATAACAATGAGCAATATCAAAGAAAGTCAACATCCTATAAGCAGTAGCATTGAGAATAATTTTATAATCATAATAGAAGCAAAATCTCAAATGATATATAATTATAATAATGGTTCAAGGGTACGTGGGATTTAAAAACAAATTGGAATTACTTTCAATAACCATCATTAATATCAAAATATTTTTTTTTAATATTTTTATAGGTTGTGTTTAGTGGCAAATTAAGAATTAAACTTAGTTCGAATACAAAGATAGAGGCCTTTGAATTTTATACAGATGATCATATAGAATATCTACCAAGGAATAGTGATATATCATCTCCTATTGGTGAATATGGAATAACGATGAAAACTTTAAGATGCTTGGAGGTAAATTTCTTGTTGATTTATTTTCTTATTTTCACAAAAAATATTATTAACATTTACTTAATTAAAATAAGGTTGCTGAAATTGTACTTTCGTTAAATGATATAATATCAACGACCATTGAGCAAAAGAAGGGACCCCAACGTAAATTTTTATTTATATTATTATTTATCGTACATTCATTATCTCACATTATCATCATAATATCATAATCATCACCTTCTTATTCTTTCTAATAGATGTATTATACACCCGTCAAATCAATCCTAATGGTTACCAACAACCAAACCATCATCAATTTAATACTTTGGCACATTTACAACAACAACAACAACAATTTTATCAACAACATTTACATCAGTTACAACAGCAACACCAACAAAATCATCAATTACAACAACGACATTTTCAACAACATATTCAACAACAGCTCCAACAACAGCTTCAACAACGACAATTGCTAAATAATAATAACGGTAATAATGGTGGTGGCGGTGGTGGTAATAACAACAATAATAATATAGATGGAGAAAACCAGAAAATCGTGCCTTATAATATTGATGCTCTCAAAGCTTTCCAAAAACAACAATTAGTGCAAAATCAACAACAACAAAATGGAAATGGCAATCCAATTCCTACACCTAATACATCACCACCTGAACCAATGCCCAAAACTCCCAATAGAGACAAAACAGATAATAATAATATTAGTAACAATAACAACAATAATAATGCTATTAACAATAATGGCACAGACAATAATAATCCACAATCATTACCGCCGTCGTCCATTAACGACATCTCAACATCATCACCACTAATGTTAAATAATAATATTTCGAAATCAGAATCACCAAAACCAACAAAATCACCGACCCAAAGTAATTATTAATCTAATCTATTTTAAGTTACAAAAATTTATTATGATTTTAACAATTAATAATAAAAATTTTGTGTTTTCTTGTTTTCAGCAAAGAGGCCATTAGATGTTACAAAGGCAAAAAGTAGTAAAGTAATACAAAAGAGAAGGAAGTCAACAAATAAATAAATCAAATAATTAATAATACTTATTTATATATATATTATATTCTTTCTTTTATTTCCTCTGCCTCTTTGTTCTTCCATTTCTTACATCTCCATCTCCACACCTCCACATCCTTTTACTCCCACCTCCTCACACATTAAGTTTTTTTAAAAAAAAATTATTATTCATGCTCCAAAAAATAGGTTGATTTTTTTTTTTGTGCTTTTATTTATTATATAATATTAATTATTAATAAAAAAAATATAAATCAATATATATATATTTATAGATATATTGGTATTTAATTAAGAGAAAAAGATGTATATATATATATATTATACACTGCTTGGAAGAAAGTAGCCGAACCTAGTTTTTTCACAAAAATTTTACACATCATTTGTAGCTTAGATTCAGAAGAATATGCCTGTAAAGTTTCATGTTTATAACTTTATAATATTTTTTTTATGATTAATATTCACTTTTTTCACCCATTTTATTTTTTTTCCTGGTGTTTACATACACACACAATAAGATTTTTTAAAAGATAATAAGTTTATAAGACGAGTAAAAAAAAAATAATAATATTTGTATTTTTTTAATTTTCCAAAAAAAAAAATAAAAAATAAAAAATATAAAAAATATAAAATAAATATATTTGATATACACTCATACGTTGGTAGGCACCACCAGCCTTTTCCTTTTTTCACACCTCTCCCATTTCTTCCATATTAAAACGTGAAAGTAAAATGAACTTGTTGGTTAAAAATAATTTTGTGTTTTCTACCAAAAAAGCACATCTGGTTTCTATATTGATAATGGTTTCGAGAAAAGTAAAGCATGCTCATTACAATTGCAACGTGGGTATGTTTATTTATTATTATTATATTAATACGGAGCATGCTATACATGTACAGGAAAAAACACACATTAATACTGATACTTGGGAAAAAGGGTACCACCCGTGGATTTTATATATTTTCGTTTTTACCGATAGTTCTATTGATTTTAATTGCATTTGCGATATATTTTCTATATATAATAAATAAAAGAATTTACTCTTGAGGTAAAAAGGATTTAATGGACTTTTCAACTATAAAAAATATGCATTATCAAAACTTCAAATTTACGAAATTTACGTTAGCGTCAGCTGTTGGTGTTGAACGATTCGATTTGTTGGGAAATTAATAGATTTTTCAGCATATCTATCTATCTTCCGGGGAAACACTGTATTATTGCTTTTTTTCTCTTCAATTTTTCAATTACATCTTTTACCGTCAACTTTTTTCCCCAAACTTTTGTTTAATTTTAGAGCATAATAATTTTTTACATGATAAACTTTTTAAGTCGTTATTATTTAATAATAATAATAATAATAATAATAATGTAATATTTATCGGCTCAAATTAGTAAATTGGTCCAACTCTCTCTGCTTAATAACCAATTTATCTTCAGAGGGATCTAAATTTTTTTCTTTTAATTTGGATCTTATTGACTAAGAAGGTATATTTTATTTTACATTCTAGCCGCATTTGGCTGATTAACATTTTATTGTTTGAGAAGTTTTTTCAATATTAGAAATTGTGTTTTTGGTGATCCATAATTATTGACTAACTGCTTCCATCACCATTTCCCTATATGATTCTGTTTCATCTTTCAGATCTTTTTTAACAATATAATCAATTATCCCCAGTTTTTTTGCAAGTTGATGAAAATTATTGCATTAAAAGTTTTTATTTTACACTTAAATTGTAATCACGTAATTATGACAGTGGCAACCATTATCAGAAAATATTTTTATCTATTAATTGTCTTTTCCTATTTTTGATAGCACTTTATCAAATGACGCAAATGCAGTAAACCAAGCATCTTGTTTACCATCATCAAACCAATTATCAATTCTCTTGCAATTAGTTCATTATCATTATCTTTGATTTAGTTATTACTAGGATTGTATAAAGTGTCACAACCTTCTTTTCAAAACAGTCTCGCATGAACTTTTAGGATTTAATTCACATAATACTGTGTTTTATCTTTTACATAGTTCGATGATACATGTAATATAAAAGCTTACCTTGATATTCTTCACGTTTTTCTGTGTCAATTAGAATTCCTTTAATATTTATTTAAAATCACAAATAATGATGCTGAACAGTTTTTTCAAAAAAAAAAAAAGGTATACTTTTCTTTACATTCCCCCAAAAGCATAAAGGTGACAATGATTTAATATTAAACATGGAATATGTTGAAGTCCATTTTTGTTAAATATAAATTGGATCACCTGATCCATTACGGAATTTCTAAATACTGTAATGATAGACAATCTAGAACAAAAATGATTGGCTAATTTTATGCAGATCTTTTCTTTGAAAAAATAAAAAATAATGCTTTTTTATTTGGCGAAGGCTTTATTAAATGGTCATATAACCTCCAAAATTATGTATTATGTTTATTTTTAACTGCTTTACGAGTCTATCAAAAAATAATCAATAGCTTCAAATCATAACCATAAAATTACCATAAAAACTCAATAACTTTTTTCATAATGGTTAAATATACTGATGAAATGTTTGAGTTATCATTCATTAGGAATCTTGTTATTAAAATTAATAAAATTAATAAATAGTATCATGAAATATATTATAATTATAAATTAATTTGTAAACTTTTTGGATATAAATAAAGTCTATGCCAAATTTTGTATGCGTGTTTATATATTTATTTATTTACTTCTTTACCTGCTTATCCATTATTCATTCGCTGTTTGTGAGTCAGGTTTACATGGCCACGGTTGACTCTCTGGATATTTGCCAATTATATCTTCAAACAAACATTTTAAAGTCTTAGCTAGTTGTCTTGTATTCGCTATCATGGGTATAATTAGAATTAAAGATCTGGGTACTGTACAAAAAAAAAAAACATAAAAAAAAAATAGCAAATAATCGAAAATTCAAGCCAAACTATGGTTCATATTGAGGGAAAAAACTAATGTGTAAACCTTTTCGGATGAAGACGGATTAATAAACTGTATATTCAAGAGAGTATATTAACTATGTAATATTATTGGTTTTTGGTATATTAATATATTCAAATCAAAATTCGAAAATCAATTTCCATTTATGGTATAATCCCAGACTGCATTAGGATGATATTTTCCCTTTTAAATTCCTAAAATTAGTATTACCAAATTAAGCAACAAATCATGTTAATGCGAATCTTTTTTTAATAATTAATAATATACTTTCAACTTTTTAACTAGACATAAATTCTCAATTTTACATTTATTATAAAATTTCCTTGATACAATGGCGGCAAATTTTTGGACTTCTACGCATGGGTAAATACTTTATTTATAATTAGCGTAAATAATTAGTGAAATTCTCAAAACTAAAATTCTCCCTAGTCAGAATTGGTTACTTAGCAAACAGCAACTTTTGGATAGTAGACAGGAAGATTTAAAATATATAAATGAAAGTGAATTGTATAAATTAAATATATGGTTCGCTTATGGTAAACAATTAATTATAATGTTGTATAAAGAATAATAATTATTTAATATTAATATGATGATGATTTTTAGTAATGACAGAACTTGGTAGACGACTAAATGTAAGACAAGTTGTCATATCAACGGCAATTACATACTTTAAAAGATTTTACGTAAAGTAAATATTAATAGTACAATCACATTATTCGTTAATTATGCATGCATTTTTATTTATATAAAAAATTTTTTTTGCTTGTATTAAAGAGACTGAAATGGTTTATTTATCTTTCTTTGATGATTTATTATAGAAATTCATATAGAAGTGTTGAACCAATGTTGGTATTGACAGCATGTATGTATTTAGCGAGCAAAATTGAAGAATTTCCGCTTCATATCAAGACAGTTACTGCTGAAACAAGAGGACTTAAAATGAGTAAGAAGAATATTTTATTTTACGTTTTATGTTTTATGATTTTTTCCAAAATATTAACTCTAAATTCATAAATTTCCAAAAAAGATAGGTTTACTTATAATAGTCAAGAAGTGGCAGAAATGGAATTTTATTTATTAGAAGAATTGAATTTTAATATGATAGTCTTTCATCCTTATCGTTCACTTATTCAAATTTCAAAAGCTTTTGGAACCAAACATGAAGATGTTAAAATGGCATCTTATATAATAAACGATACATATAGAACAGATTTATGTTTATCATATCCACCATATGTTATTGCAGTTGCTGCATTATTCTTACCAATTGCAATCAAAGAAAAATCTAATCTTTCAATAATAAATGAGAATGATAAAAATAATGATAATGATATTAGTAAGGAAAATGGAGTTGTCACTAGAAGAAATTCAAGAAAATCAATTAAAAATGAAGAAATCAATAATATCAATAATAGTAATAATGGTAACAATTATAAAGATATTAAAGATATTAAGAAATGGTTTTCTGAGTTAAATGTTGATATGGAACAGGTAAATATATATATAATTCATAATCATTATTTATTGGTGTTGGTTGATATTTGTAATATATATTAAATAATTATTAATTATTAATTTTTATTTTATTTTGTTTTTTTTTCAAAAAATTTAGGTTGTAGAGATTGTACAAGAATTAATTGTATTATATGATTTTTGGAGTGAATATGATGAAGACAAGTCATATTCTGAAATTGATGGCATTTTGAAAAAATTACTAATTAAATAAAAATTAGTTATTACTTGATATTTAACATATAAATCTGTTACAATAAAGAAGTCGTGAAACGAATCCAACATTTTTAACCAAACATTTTGAGAAAAAGTGGTACACGGTCTCGATTTTAACAATTTGGACAATTAATATTAGCATTGGAGTTAACCGAGAAAATCCATTATATCGAGAGAATTTACTATTACTACAGATCGCTCACCATAGACTCGATCCATTAAATCGAGACTTTTATTAGATATCCGCTAAATCGGAATTCACTTTTTTATTATGAATTTCCATAAAAGTAACCAGAAAATCTAAAATAGAAAGTGAGTGGTGATGATCTTGGTCCAGGAAATTAAAAAAGTCCAAGCGCGCTTTTATATTATTATGCGTAGTTAACTTCATGAAGTTAACACAACTCATGTGCTATGTAAAAAGTTGCTCTACGTACCAGTATTGACCTGCCTATGTGTGTGTTTCAAACTCTGGCATTAAAGACAATTCGAACGCGGTTTTATTATTTTAAATATTCAATAGTAAATTATTTGACAAATGAACACATGACACACTATAGCATGTCCCAGTTCATAGATAAATCAGTTTAAGATTAAGTCTAGTATCGGATTTGTGATATTTTTATTTGGAGAAAAGGAAGAAAATCAAGGTGTCAGAATAGCAAATAATAATGAAATAATCAAACAAAAAAACTTCACAGTGATTGAACCTTCCAACTCTTAAATATGGCATATAACTTGATCATTATTTCCGGGAGATTTTTATTCATTAAGAAACATATACAAATGCTAATTGACTTATCTGAGATAATAATCTCGAGTTCCTTTTGGAATGTTATTTTTTTATAACTATATAAAGGTTGTATGTCCTTTATTGATATAAAAATGTTATCAGTACCTGCAATTTCTGTGAATTACGCGTTATAGAGCTAGTATTTGTGAATTGAATTTAAAATCATTAGAATTTAGGCCAATTAGAAGTAGATAATATGGACCTGGTAAATTTACCCTGGGATTAATCCCGTTTAGTAGTAGTGCGAAATCGGTCTTGAAATACAAATTTGGGAAAATCGCCTTCAAGCTTCATTTCATGTTCAGCTCGGCGTAGACGGTAACTTTGCAAAAAGCTTAGCCCCAATGAACAAAGTTATCTAAAAATATCTATGCTGAGTTGAAAGGTTTTAAAGTCAGGTGATTTTTATATCATATTAATTAATATAAGGAATTATTGTCTGATATAAACTTTCTTGAAAAAAAGAAACTTCGGAAAGTCATTGTACTGTATCACATACATTGGCATAAAAGGAAACATACTGATGCAAAAAGAACGATCAGAAACAATCTTGGGTGGATATAATAACGAGACAAAGAAGTTTCGTTTACGCATTGCAAATGAAATTTTCAAAAAAAGCAATTGTGTTCAAATCAAATCAAAAAAAAATTTTTTTAATATTAAAAAAAATTCGACGATTTTCAAAATATTTGTTTAAAAAATGCTAAAAATTTTTAAAAAAGAAAATGAAAAAAGTAATGAAAATTTATTAAATAGTAGTAGTAGGACTTATAATTGTAGCCCTACCCACAGTCAACGGACTAGCACTAGTATTATTAATAATAGCATCACCACTAGTAATAATGATAAAATTCATACAACATCTTCAACAGGGGAAATGATAGTCACAAGTGGACAACTATTATTATCAACTATAGAAGATAGTTTTAGTAATTATTTACCAGCAATTCAGAAAATTACTGCTTTATGTGAAAAAATTGTAAAAAGTTACGAGACAGTTAAAGAAAATAAAACAATATGTAGAGTATTAATTGATAGAGTTGAATTGACTCATATAGCAGTAAAACAATTAGTTAGAACCAGGCAAGAGAACGAAGAAAAATTTCGTGATCCGGAATACTTCAAAGCATTTGACAGATTGCAAAAGACTTTAGAAAATATTGAAACCTTTATTAAAAAAATATCAAACTATGGAGCATTCAGGAAGTTTGATAATGCTGACAGTGTTAAAAAATGCTTTGAAGATTATATTAATGATTTGGAACAAGTTAGTAAAGATTTGGGTTTTAATGTAACACTTCGTATTTATCATGATTTGAATGATTTGAAAGAAAATAATGAGAAATACTCTAAAATGTGGGAAAATTTTAATAAATCTTTTAAGGTTAATAATAATAATAATAATTTTTTTTTTAAAAAAAATTACTTGATTTAATAGATTTATTAAATACCATCAAATTCTGTTTAGAATGTAGGGAAATCGGAAATAGATCAAGTAGTTTCAATAGGAAAAATTAAAAAATCTTTGAAATCCAATGATTTTGAATCTAAGGAAGAACTCTTCAAAATACCAGAAATTGATACTAAAGACATAGAGGATGTGAAACCACAATACAAAAAGGCAACAGATATAAGAGGGAAAGATAGCAATGTAGTTAAGAAAGTATTAAAGAAAACAATTGATGTAGCATGTAAATATATTGTAGGAGATTTAAAGGATGACAATGATTCTGTAACCAAAAAGTATTCCGGGCAACTTATAATATTAAATGCTATCCAATGTGAATATATTGTTAAATTCCATGGTATTTCAAATGTTGATTCTCGTAAAGCTTTAATATTTGGTTGGGTAGAAAAAGGAAATTTAAAAGATTTATATGAGACTCATTATATTGATTGGATTACAAAATTAAAGATTACTCATGATATTATCAAGGGTCTCATATTCATACATAGATGTAAATATTTGCATCGAAATGTTAGATGTGAGAATGTTTTAGTAAGTTTTTTTAATAAAAACAAAAATATTGTATTAATATTAATATTAACACTAATAATATATATACATATTTGTAGATTGATGAGAATGGAAATCCCAAAATTTCAAATTTTGATCTTAATCGTGCATTGTCTCAATTATCTAAAAGAACAGAAAAAATAGAAGATTGTCTTCCTTGGTTAGCACCTGAAAAAATACCTGTTGATAACGCAAGACCAAATTTGCAGCCTTATGACTTTCCTTGTGAAATGTTTAGGTGATTGTTTTCATGAATCTATAAATATAAATTTATAAACAATATTATCATTTATAAATAAATAAATGATTTTTATTTACTTTTTATTATTATTAGTTTTGGAATGCTTCTTTGGGAACTTACATATCAACAAGTTCCGTACAAAGGAAAAGGTCCAGAAAAGATTAAAGATCATGTTTTAAGTGGTCAAAGAGAAGTAATAAAAATTGGAAAATACAATAAAGAAATACAATCAAATTTAATTAGAATTATTATAAAAGGTAATAATAACACTATATAATTATAATAATAACAACAACAATGACAACAACAATAATAATTTTACAATATAATATTACTATATTTTTTTTTATTCTTCAAATGCTAGCTTGGGAAGTTTTACCACATGATCGACCTACTTTTGATGAAGTCATGGATATATTGACAGGGTTATGGAAACTATATGAAAGTTGTAATTATTCGGCTAAATTTCTTGCAAAAAATGAAATTTCAGCTGATAAACTTCATGTTTATAATATCGAGATGCCAACAGATTTCGAAAAAGTGGAATTCAAAAGGAAAGCTTTTGAGCCATTGATACCACTGGAAGAGGGTAGAAAAGCCTATAAAGAACATCAAGACTTTAAGAAGGCATGGAAATGTTTTTGTGATAATGCTGAACTTAATGATTATGAGGCAATTTATTGGAAAGCATATTTCTTAGAAACAGGCAAAGCCAATGAATCAGGAAAGCCAACTCATGAAGATATTGAAGAAGCAACTAAACTATATAAGATTGCAGCTGATAATGGTATAGCAGATGCACAAACACAATACGCACTCATAATATATAGAAAGGATAATACATTGTATGTTGAAGAGTATAAGAAATATTTACATCTTGCTGCTAAAAATGAAAATGTCATTGCATTATTTAAATTAGGTCAATACTATCTTTCAGGATTTCAAGGTCGTGATCAGAATGCAGATCTGGCTAGGCAATATCTTCAATCTGCTGTTTTGCAGAATTACAATGAAGAAGTTAGTAGAAGAGCCATAGAATTGATAAATAATATGGAAAAAAATGATACTGAAAAAACTGTAGAGTCAAAGAAAATTTGATTCATTAGAAAATTTTATTTATAATGTAATCTTAAATTTTATTATCATTCTTTTTTTTTAATTTATTTCATAGAAAATAAAGTTTATTCATTTATTGCAAAAAACTCTGTCCAACAAAGCTCTTTGACAACTGATTCAATAATCTACAACAACACAAATAAATCACTTGTTTGATAATAAAAATTTTATAATTAACACAATCAATAAATTTCCCAAACAATAAATTAATAATAATGTGGACAAAACATAACGTTGAAATATCAGAAAATACTGGTGATTATGTTAATCGTGACTGTGGCTCTAAAACAGATATACGCGTAACAAAAAATAGTATAAAACGTCGAGGTTGGAGTTTTTTACATGTTATATAGTAAAGATAAAAAAAAACATTGTAAATTTTTCAGCGAGTTCACATAGAACAACTTAGACTAGGAATAAAAACTTTGATATTTATTCATTTATAATTTTACAACAATACTCGAGTTTGATTTTCAGATGACATTAATTAATATTTCAATGGCGCCTTTTATCTCCATTAATAAAGCAAATCTGAACAATTAAGGAGATCAGAATTAAAAAGATGCAATTAGTAATAACTACACCGATAATTAAATGATATTAATTGTCGATTGACACCATCACCAATCATCTTTTTGGAACATACCATCATCATCATTATTTTTTTAATGATGGTGATGATGATGACGACGACGACATGTTGATGCAGCTACTAACCAATAATCTTATATTAACATATTAATAATATTAATAATAGAGCCCATTTAAATAAACAAACAAAAAAAGAAGTTACGTGCACATAAACAATCAATTGAATTATTAAGGTGTTTTTAAAAAAAGTGATGACGATGATAAGGTCGGAAAGAATTGAAGGAAAAGTAAAAAAGATTCGAGATTTGTCCAAGGCTGGAAGAAACAAAGAGAGTTAGAAGAAAGGAATCAAAATCGTGGAATTAGAGATTACAAATATACAAGAACGAAAAATAATGGTTTGTGGCAGTGTTAGAAGAATTAGGTTAAGGATTTGCTAGTGTAACTTTGATGGATGTACACAAGGCTCGATAAATACATAGAAATAAAGTTTGTTGATAAAAACTTGTAAAAAAAGATTAAATATTTTGGTACTTTCTATACTTATATTTAAAAACAAGCATTCTTTTAAATTGATGCTTTTTTAAATTTAAATTTTCCAATTAAATTAATTATTGTTGGTTTATCATACAAAATATAAAATTTTTAATTTTGATCAAAAAAACAATTTTGCGAAAAATGTCATCGTTGTCTACTGAAAATTCAAAAATAGACATATTATCACCTACCCTTAATAAAAATTCAAAAGACAAAGAAATTGTTTTAAAACCTAATGTTGATAACGAAAGTAATAACAATAATAATAAAGACAGTAACAACAACGATAATACTAGTACAGAAGAAAGGAACTTAACGTAAGTTAACAGTTACCAAGTTTCATTGGAACAATCTAATTCATTGATCGTAACCACCTCGCTTCCCATAATAATTTCATTGATATATTTTGTGTGAAATCAAAATAAGACCAAAAAAATTCAACTATATGTATTTTGGTTCTGGTATTTGAAAAATTATATCAGACGTCATCATCCTGGTCATTTTCGTGATGATCCTGTTGGTTTTATGATGGAGATGGGAGCATTCTATCAAGGAACGGTATGTTAAAAATTAAACGTGCTTCTCGTTTATATTTATTATATTTTTGTGTACAACTCAAAGACAATAAATTCAATTAATATTCATGCAAATTCAATTATAAAACCATTTATACATATATTCAAAATTAGGGATGGAGAAGCTACAAAGATTATATTGGTGCTCGGATATTGTATGATGGGTACACTGAAGAAGTAAAAGAACGGATATTGAATAGCGAACGCGGTAAAAAGGAGCTTCTAATATTTGATATAATAATCCTTTCTATCAAATGATTAAGAAGTAGTTTTAGAAATAATTGATTAATTGATCCATATAATCTTTTTTTTTTTTTTGTGTTGTATAGTTCTTTATATGATCACTTATTTAGCTGAAAAACAACCAAATATTCTTGGTCCTAATGCAACCCCAAAAATGATTGCTAAAAGAAAAAGTTTATTAAAGAAAGAATTACAAGATGTGGCAGATAAAATGGTGGATAAATTAGTAGCCGACCTAAACAGTTTACGTTTTATTAGGTTCGATCCATCTTCACTCTATCTGTTTATATATTATCCAAGATAAATATAGAGACATATATATAATCTGTATTGTATTAAATATTTCTTCATAGACTTTTTGGTTTTTGTATAAATAATATACTGGTGAGAATGTACCATCAAGGAGTTCACATTTCTGAACGAGAGTTCCTTGAAGTAAGATTTATAAAAAAAATTTTATTATTAATATACTTGATATATAATAATAATTTTTTTATTAAAAAAAACTTTTATTTGTTTATTTATTCATTTATATGTGTCAATAATAAATTTTTGACGTATTATAGGTTCGTAGAGTGGCCATTCTAGCAGCTGAAAATTCTCAATCTCTTATAATCCTTCCGTCCCACAAATCTCATATAGATTATCTTGTTATATCTTATATATTTTTTCGTTTAGGTCTAGCGTTGCCACATATTGCTGCTGGTGATAACCTTGATATACCTGTTGTTGGTGGAATTTTGAGAAGTGGTGGTGCATTTTTTATTCGTAGATCTTGGGGTGAAGATCAACTTTATGGTAGTGTTGTAAAAGAGTATGTGGAAGGATTGCTGGAACGTGGTCATAATATCGAATGTTTTATTGAGGGTACAAGGAGTAGGACCGGAAAACTTTTACCTCCTAAACTTGGCATTTTGAAAATAATTTTAGATTGTATATTATCTGGAAGGGCAAAAGATTGTTGGATTGTGCCAATGTCAATTCAATATGATAAAGTGATTGAAACTGAATCCTATGTTAATGAATTGTTGGGTAATCCAAAAGAACGTGAAAGTTTATGGGGAGTTATGACAAATACTAGATTATTGCAATTAAAATGGGGAAGAATTGATGGTAATTATTAGTTAAATCTAAAATTATTTATTTATTTATTTATTTAAAATCCCATTTAATTGTTTGCCATACATATATTAATTTTATTTCTTTTAGTACGATTTACTAAACCATATTCTCTAACAAATTTTATTAATGAACAAATTGAACGTAGAAAGTAAACTATATTGCTTATATTATTTATTATTTTACACAAGTCATTCATTAATAATTCAACTAATCAATAAATCAATTATCACTTTTACAACTCTCTATCATACATATATATATTCATTCCAAATAGGTCATTTAATCTTCAAACTGAATCACAAAAAATAATTTTACTACAAGCTTTAGGCTATCGGTTAGTAATTAAACATTTTCAAATCAAGTTTTATAATTATATTTGATTTTCACAATATTTATTTTTCTAATAATATTTTATTTATTTTTATGATCAGGGTTTTGTCTGATATTGTATGCTTTAATTTCGCATATTTAAAATAAATAACCCTACCTTCTTTTAAAATTTTTTTTCTATTTCTTATTTTATTAATAATCTTGGACTCATATTTATAGAACTCGGTTTCAGTTGTTATGCCTACAGCTTTAGGTATTTAATACAAAATATTTATTATTATTATTATTATTATTATTATTATCTAGTTTCTATAATAACTAAATTATATTTATGGATGTATATTAAATGAAAAGTTGGAACTGTGATATTGACTCTTCGTGGACGTGTAAGAATTTTCATTCTATATATGGAGAGTAGCTGTGTTAACAAGCATAGAATAATAAATAAATAATAAGGTTGTTACTGTTTTTAAATATTAGGGAGTTGGCAGAATTGAACTTATTAGACGTGTTAATTGGTTGAAAGCTGCAGTTTTAGCTAAAGGTGGACGAGTAGCTGATTTTGGTGGCAAGACAACTGGTGAAATTGTTGACCGGTAATTAGTGTACCTATCATTATTGATTTTTTATCATTATTTTCTAATATTGACAATAACAACAATAATATAATAATAGTGCAGTAAATGTTTTAAAAGATTTAATAAAAGAACGAAAAGATTTGTTAGAACCTATTTTTTATGCAGAGAAAAGGTTTGAATTAAGTTTTTATCGTAATCAGGTAAACAAAATAAATCATTTAATATTTACATGATAAATACAATTGGAATTTATATTTATATTTATTATTCATACTTATACAGGTGATGCATCTTTTTGTATCTGAAGGTAATAAATCTATTCATATGATACTGAAATTCACTTAAACATATAAATCATATAGATATATATCTGTGTGTGTGTTTCTCTATTTTTAATTCGTTAAAATTAGCAATTGTGTCAGCTGCCATGTACACAAAGATAAAACAAGGAGGAGCAAAATCTACACAACGTCTTCACCGTAGTTTACTCTTAGGGGAAGTCTCGTTCCTTTCACAATTGCTTAAAGTGGAATTTGTTTATGATCCTGGTGAATTGGATACTAATTTAAATATTACATTACAAGGGTTACAAGTACATATATAATTAAACTTTTAAATTTTATTTAATAATCGTGGTAAATTTTTTTTTAAATAATAAACAATACCAATAATAATTATCATATTATTAGAATGATAATGTTTTCACAATTGATAAAGAAGGATATGTTGAATTAACAGAAGCTGAAAGAGCTATAGGACGTGAGAACTATGGTAATAAAATCAATAATTTTCTTCTTTTTGTTTGATTAATTTAATCACGCTAATTAAGATATTATCGTTGTCATTTGAAGATTTTTATTGCTTTTTAATATGGCCTTTTATTGAAACATATTGGTTAGCTGGTAAGATAATTCATTGTTTCATATATGATGACGACATATTAATTATCTAATATTCATGAATATCCATTTAACGAAATAATAGCTGTCAGTTTATTCTCCATGAC